TTTCCTTTGCACGTAGCGTCCACCAGGCCTCTCTGTCGTCTCTCAAACTCCTTGTGAGTTCACGCTTCAGGGAGAGGCGCTGTTCGTTGTACTCGCCGTCTGCCGAGATTGCCCGACGCGCGTCGAGGAGTCTGAGAGTTAGAGGANCGGCTGAGTGCATTGCGTTTCGAATGGTTGTCCAGTGTTGATCTACGCTTCTTGGTGGGGTCGTAGTTAGCCTTGCGGCCAACTCGTTTTGATAATCGGCTAGTACGGCCGGGTCAGAGAGCTTGACGACGTCGAGCTGTTTGCATCGCACCTTTTCGCGGCCACCAAATCGCATAGACAACTTGGCAAAAACCAGTGCATGGTCGGAGTCCAAGCAGGTAGACCAGTATGAATGGCAGTCTTTCACACATCCTCTCCATCTATAGCTAATAGCTATATGGTCGATCTGACTGCACGTCTGTGCCGATGCTTCCAGTATACCAGTCAGTTCTCACGAATTTTCTCAAGGTTTTTGTCCCGTTGAGAAATGCAACTTTCCCTGCAGTAGGGCAAATGACAGGGAGAGATCAAGTCTGTTTCGGACAGGCTCCACGTAGGAGTAGTAAATTTGTAATAATCTATAAGACTGTTTACAGGCACTAGACACGATTGATGAGGTGCCGACCCGAATGTTCGCAGTCGGAGTCCTGACAGAGAAACGCAAAAAAATACGCACTGCTGGTGAGTCTCGAACAGGAAGAAACAGCTATCTAGTGCATTCTGTCGGGCACAACGAATCTTTTTATCGCTTATAAATGTATTGAACGATCTTCCAAGGAGTGAAACCCAAACCCAAGGCACTCAACAGTTCCTTGGGCTTGTGAATAATCGAATGGATTATTCCACATTTATTTCTCTTAAGTGCTTGAACCATTCACACATGGTAATCACTGTCGAGCGTGTAGCTGAGAGGTAAAGGTTTGAAGCCCCGACCTGAATGTCCGTAGTTAGAGCCCTGACAAGGACACCAAAAATATGCACTGTTGACTAGTCCCAAACAGGACGAAACAGCTGTGTTCAGTGCTCTTTGTGTCGGTCATCACAAAGCTTTCCATAGCTTATAGCTTCCCGGAATAGCTGCGTCAAACTGTTGTAGGGTGAGAATCAGCAAAGGTAGATTGAACGAAACTAACAAATACGTACTGCCACGAAATCAAACAAATGGTAAAACCACGGGATGAAAACACTTACCCAGTGATTTACTCTCGTGTTTCTCCACATTGGCAAAGCCGAAAGTAAATGTGTACAGCGACTTGAACTGCTCCCGTTCCTCGATCTCAGTCATCAGATTGGGAATTTTGGCACGTAACATCTCAATGGAGTCACATCTGGAGGAAATGCGCGCGCACACACACAGAGATAAGAAAGAAGCAAAAATACGTTGAAATGGAGCGGGTAAGACAGGGGAAAATTGGCATCAAATGTTCACCTTGAAACAATTCAGGCACCTTGATAGTCAAATCAAATCTATAAAACTGGTTAACAGATCCAGGGCTCTTGTTGCAGATCGCCCGTATGGACAATTGGGACTACTCCACTCTGACTGTAATCTCCAGTCTTAAAAACACACATGTGACAACCAACAGGTATAGACTGCACCTGGAGGTGGTGTGATCACTGGTTCACCCATGAGAATCGATCAGCTAAGCATGAGAGAGTGTGGCAATCCGATGGTCCGATTATAGTGAGTGGGCAGAGGTAAAAATCCAGTCTTCATAATTCAATAATTTGGCTTTTATTTCACTTTTCCCACTGCCTTCCTTGCACTGGTCGAGGTGGCTGTTTCGGATTGCGACTGGTCACTCTTGTCTTGCACCTCGAGAAATGCTTCCGTACGATCAACCGTCTCAAACAGCTTCTGCTGAAGAAGCCCTACTGATTGCCTTCTCGTGGAGTATATGTTCTCCCACCAAAGTGAGAGAACGAAAAGCCAATATCCGGGTCGGTGAACTGTTCGGAGACGTTGTAAAGTCCGGCCGCCAAGTAGGAGAATAATTAGAGCTCTTAGTTGAAACGTTTAGTTGTAATAATAACCTAAATGTAAGGCATATATATATATATATATTCGCACAAGCCTAAGTTCAAACTGTGCCAGACAAATCACGGTACAATAATCTTTACAGAAATAGAGAGGNACATGATGCTGCTAGGTTGCTCAGTCAAGTGAATTTTCCTAGGGCATTCAAAACCGAAGCCTTCAGTTAACCAATGTCAAACCCGCAATTTAACGGGGCGGTGTGCACTTTATTAGGGGCCGGTGTCCAGTGTGTTGGAACCTACACCTTTTGGACATAATCAAAACTCCAAGCTGTCCAATAAACCTGGATACACAATCGAGCTGGTGACCACTACCACGACCAGGAAGTTGTGTGCGTGGTTCGTGCGCCTCTTCTTGGTTGGTGAGAAATCAGGGCCTTTAGCCAACTCCCCTAGGTGAACTGTCAGTGGTTCATCGACCCGGTTATAGCCCCGGATATTGAATTTCCGTCTTCTAACTTGGGTGGGATAACACCACCGCCAAGAGAAGGCAGTGAGTAGGTCTTCCTCAGCAGGGGCTATTTGAGAGGCTTGGTCGCATGCGAGCATTTCACGAAGTTCAAGGGAAGGGTGATGAGCGACAACCCGAGACACGAACCCTTAATCATACTGAGGCTTTCGTATCTTACGGGTAGTCGTTTGTTTGTTCAACAGCCTGGGTCAAGGTTACCGTTCGTCCCGTTTGGGTCACAACAACAAACTAACCGAACTTACTCGATCAATCCAATGCTCCCATATGGCTGCGCCAGCAGGTTATCTAATCGCTCAGCGAACGGATAATGGCGATCGACTACTCTAGCTCTGTGCAGATCATCGGCTGCTCCTCTTTAGTACGGACAGTGACTAGGTACTCTCGTTTAACAGTACAGCTGACTGAAGTAACCGCATTACAGTTAACTATCGTTGATTTGGTTTCGTACACAATGACAAGTCCCACCGGACTACCTAGGTTGAGTCGGGCTACACACTAGTTTTGGTGCGCTTAATGCTTCCACTCACTGGTCACCGGTGAACGTCGCGAGCGCAGTTAAGTTGGACCGCTATAAGCAGAAACTTAGGCATGAATTAAGAGTTTGGAAACACGGTGGAGTACATAAGGGGATGAGATTTAACCTGTAATGCACGTGAGTCTGAATTCTCTGCGGGAAATTGAATCGTTCAGGAAGGAGTAACCCCGATGAAGTGGAAAGCTCAGATTGAAAAAAAAAACAAGTGAAAATAGAGCACGGGATTTTTTTTTAAGATCAGTGAAGTTTCTTTCATTGAATTCTTTGCATAATAACGATGATGACCTCAAACTGGTGGTGATTACCATCAGGTAAACCTTGAGGTCATGTATTTGAGCCGCATCACCAACAGCTGATTTTTCTAGCCTCTGATTGGGTACAGCTGGCGTCCCAAAAAGTGCTGTTTATTCAACTAACCTAAAACAGTATGGTCAGTATGTACAGGCAGATGCCTTGTTAAACAGTGAAAACGGNGTAGCACGTAAAATGGACACTGCGTAAGCGATTTCAATTAGGAAATATGCGTACTTTACCGGGCAGAAACCAAGACCAAAAGCTTTTTGATCCTGTTTGATATTCAACTGAATAAACAAATCGCGGAGAACCTTGAATGGATATGCTCGTAAAATGCTTGCGACGCATATTATTGTATATAAGTGGATTGAAATTGCCGTCAAGAGTCTCTCTGATCGATTATTGGATCAAAACCACCACGATTTACGTTATGCTTAGTGAAAGCCAAAACACGTGGAAAATGGTAGAATTCGTAGCGTATACAGCAAATGAAGCGTGAACTGAAAAGCTAGGAAGTACTGGACAGCTGTTTCGACCTGGTTGGTCTTAACAGTAGTGCGAACCCATCGACCCAACTGGGAATCGAGGGGAAATGAAAATCCGTCTGATCAGCTGCCTGGTGACCGAGTGGGTAGCGTGCTTGCGTTCTGACTGTGAGGTCCCGGGGTCGATGGACTCGCAGTGCTGAAGTGACCCAACCAGGTCGAGACAACTGTCCGGTGAATGACCCCTAGATTTTCAGTTCACGCTTCATTTGCTATATACACAACGAATTCGCCTTTGAAATTGAATCAAATCCTCCATTACTCACTTGAAAATGGTAGAATGGTCTAGGTAGTCAATCGAGAAATCCCAACTCAACCGGAGGGGCCTAGGCTTAGGTTGATGGGTTAGATAATCAAGCAATAGGTCCAAGAGACTGCATGTCTCATCATTTTCCACTGTTACTGAGCCCGCGTGGTACTCGGCGAAATCAATCTGCTATGCACTAAAGTTATCAAAAGTGTCACACGGTTGTAACAAAGTGCAAGTGAATTTCAAAGGATAGCACAACTTGTCGATTGCACCTGTTCTACATTGGTTTTGCTTTTCTATCCGAAACCTGTATCACAATCCAGCGGTCTACATGCTCACTGCGGTTTGATGGAATGTGCTGTTTGCAGAACTTCCGTGATTTTGTAATAAAAACATACAAAAAACGAGATAAACGTTGTAAAAAAATAAGCGAGGATAAAGGAAAAGAACGGATTTTCCAAGTGGAGAATGGAAATCAGTAATGATGCACTAACCCAAGCTCTTTGAAACCACGGAAAAATTCGTCCCGAGTAAATTCGCCTTGAGTTCGTGCCCCGAATTTCCATGCTAAAACTAAAACAGAAAGACTGGCTGGATCCAGACGAAGATCGGAAACAAGGAACTGTTCCATTCCAGTAGCCAAGATGCGGTCGGGATATTGTGGATCTGGAACAAGAACGAATGGGATAGGGGTGTGAACGAATGAATGAGTGAAGTCGACAGGGAAAGCGGACTGAACCGGTCAACAAATAGAACAGTGAGGAAAAACTGCAGATGTTATGGCTTTAAATCGATCAGAACGTTTTAACGAAATCTCAACGTGCATAGGGGAAACTATACAGAGCGATGGAAGTAGACGCCAGTTATACAATAACAATAAATCCTAAAATGTCGAATGGAATCCGACTCCGAGTTCCAGCGGAGAATAATAAAGCGCCATGATTACATAGTTTGTCTCCAAAGTGAACTGGTGACAATGTTTTTGAATGAATGCACACGCAAAATGGTCGATAACATCTATCACCTTTATTATCATTATCAGCCTCTATGCGCAGTGAACTGGACTGACTAATAGACCTAGGAAAAATCAGGCTGAAAAGATGAAATCGGTGAAATAAAAGACGCTCAGTGAGAAAATCATAGAGCTTAACACATCTTGAATAAGCTTGACGTCCTAAAAAACGATATTTGCCGTTGAACGACTCTGTCATGGCTTGTTGGTATGTGGAGCGAAAACTGGGCCATTTTATTTTACGATGAAACTAGTTCAACCTATGGAAGCAGAGAACAAATTAACCAATTGGCTCAACAGACCCGGTAAGAGGCAGTGATGCAATTTCAACCGGAAAGAAATAATGTTGACCAAAAGCCATGACACAGATATGAAGTGTACACACCACACACACACTTTAAGGTATCTGTTTACCTAAACGGGACAAATGTACTTGTTCTTACATTCAAATAACCTGTTGTCGAACGTTCATTTCATTTCATTGTGAAAGATGCGCGATCGAAAAAGTTTCCATCCGTATGAATACACATTCACCTCGATCGCGTTTAGGAGGTGTACTGTGAGCGCTAAATAAAACTGGCAGTGCAATCGGTTGTTTGGCATACCTGATGTCCCTACCTTTATTTTGACTCTACAATTGTGCAAACCGAAACTGACGAGAAATAAGGCGGATGTTCCTAACGGGGTCCTACCAATTATTTTATATAGTCATAGAGACAGAGAGAACTGCAGACCATATTTTAACCGATTTGATTCCAACTTGGCATTGTATGCTCTAAATGATGGACGCATGCGGTGGCAGTTTTGTTTCGACCTGAAAATGTCTGCCTCAAATTACTGATTAATCGTAATCAGTTTCTTCAGTCAAGCAGGTTAATCCGCCATTATTGCATGCTCCGAGTCCTGAGATCGTAGGCTTGTACTGACACGTCCACCCCGCCTGATTCTCGTCTGACTGGATACCACCCCATCTCGTGAGGATCTGATCTAGTACGTTACTTCGAGTCCCAGTGTTTAGATCATTCGTGTACATTACCGATCATGAGGTTCACTTGACTAGGGGGTTCATTCCGTCTGCTGTTTATCGTATTAAAGTGCGTAATAAAAAAACACTTATCAACAATCGGTGACCCCGCTGATATTAATCCGTTGAAGTATTTCTTATTAAATAAGCGTGGATCGGTTGGAAAATCGATGAATGAATGCTTTTAGGGAGCTCCAAAATGTCTGGGCTTGCAGCAACTTGTGAGTGAAGCGTAACTGCATTTTATTGTACGATAGAATACTTCACACTTTTATCGGACTGCGTGCCAAACAAATCACTGTAACAAAGAAATCAGTTCACTATTTGCTCCGACCCAGGCCAAAGCAGATGTCATTTTCGGGGATGATTCACAACCGAAGCCTTTGGACAGCCAAAAGCCTGACCTGTAAGGCAGTGTGTGTGTGTGTGAAAACTGCTGTACAGTTTATTGAATGATACACCACTTGGACGAGTCAAACGTTCAAATTGCCCAATAAAGGTCAATGTCCAAACAAATCGGTAACAGGTGCCGCAATCAGGAAGGTATGGGTTTGGTTCGTACAGTTCTTTGATATTTGTTTGAACTCAATTTTTTATCGGCAGCTGCTCCAGATGAACCAACCCAGTTAAAATCTTGCAAATTGTCTTTTCGTCCTCTTATTTTCACAAGGAAAACATTTTAGTCACGTGAAGCTAGTAAGTAGGGCTTCCTTAACAGAAGTTATTGGTGGCGCATGGTCGGACACGAACTTTCGTTGGGAGGGTGAACAGTCACAAAATAAGCAACTTTACTGCACGATGACAACTTTAGTGATGCAGTATCTCAGACTTACTGAAATAACAATCCGGATTACGCTCATCCGTCCGGCAAGCGGGTCCTACTGAGGTCGATTAAGGGGCAAACAGGTTCATTAAGTAACAATGGAGATCTTTAGTTTAACTTCATAAAGAGAATTAAATCTTGAAGAGAGAGCACAACAAAGCCAGGTTGCACGATTTATGCCAAAGCAGATATCGGTGCCTCTCAACTGGTACAATACGGCCGAAAACTACAGTTTATATCGTCCAACAGTAAATCATGTACTGTTCAACGATATAAACCGTAGTTTTCTGCCGTATTATACCAGTTAGGCTGAGGCGAAATCTGCTTTGGCACAAATCGAGCAACCTTTGTTGTGCTCTCTCTTCAAATTTATCTCGGGGAATAAGTCAGAATTGGAAACTGCATGTTATTGGTTTCTCAGGCCTTCGGACTACACGTGTAATTTCTATGCACTACCCCATGCACTGTTGGAAGTCAAGGAGCCTGTAATTTATCGCTTAAGACTAGATAAAATGGCCGACAGGATAGTGAATATAACTAATAAAGAACAAAAGATGATTTCACAATAGCAGATCCAAATTTGGAACGGATGTTATTGAAGTAATTGTGCGTCACGCTCATAGTATTAGATCCGTGAAGGAAAACGTCATGGCTAATCCAAACGTTTTCCTTCACGGATCTAACAAAAGGTGATGACTGCGGAAAAATCAAAAGTTTGCGTGAGAACAATCGTAAAGTGGCGGCAAAAGGAGTGATGAAGAAATTCTCCATGATAAATGTCCAGGAAATCTTGCTTCGCAAAGAGTTCTGGATAAATTTTAAGACGATGTAATGTGTGAGCCGGCGAGTGAAAACGAGAAAATAAACAAAATCCGACACTGCATCGAGTATCCTTAGCCATTGTGTATCGCGATGACGTAAAATAACAGAGAACACCCTCGCAAGGTCTACCTCGTGATCGCTTTCAACCAAGTGTTGTGTGATGGCCGAGGTAGGCCTAAGTGATACAGTCAGAATTTGTGGTGTAGGCTGAGTCAAAGGTCTGCCTACACGAAACCGCAGACTTCATCTGTGAATTTATCACATGAGAGGACATCAACCGTATCATACCTCCGCTGCTTTTGAAACCTCTTATTTTACTGTGCACCAAAAACGTGCGTCTCCAGTTTTAAGGAACACCAGTTCCACAGATAGACGATGTTGCCATGGGTAGCTCTCTTGGTCCTATCCTGGCAGACATTTTCATGGGTATGACTGAAGCACGATTGAATAAGGCAAATCAACCGAACAATTTTACATAAAAGATATGTTGATTATGTTTTTATCATCTGCAATCAGTTTGAAGATATGGTTCTACTACCGCTGGATGAATTGAATACAGCACACCGTAACTTGCAATTCACCTATGAAATAGTGAAGGAAAATTCGCGCAGTGGTTTAGTCGCTGTTACCGGGTTGCTTGGATCCTATGGTCTAAGGTTCGAGCCCCGCCACCGCCACCCAACTTTGGTGGTAGATAGCTCTGTTGTCATTCGGTACAAGAACACGCCTAACCTAGCGGGGCTTTATGTGGCTCGGCACTCCAAGTCCCGCGGGGCTTAGGTTGCCGGTTTCCATCGCCGGATAGAAGGTCTTCGTGATTATGAGATTCGCCCCGTCTGTTGTTCATCACACTAAGGTGTGTAAAAAAGTGACTATTCTATTCAACGATTTGTCTTCCAAAAGAAGACTTGGCTCGGACAGTATTTTTACTTTGACAGTTTGTCACCAATGGAACACAAGAGAGCCCTGGTTCGAACGTTGCACCGTAGGGCGAGAATTATGTACGGAGAACGCAATACTAAACGACTAGGAGAATATACACAGTGCTTCAGGGGAAAATGACTATCCGGAGTCATTCGTTAGTTTTCACAATCGGACAAGAAACCAGGCTCAAGCACTTATCCAGCGGGCGTTCAAAAAGAATATACACATCTCTCCGTCACACAAAGGGAAGTTAACAATGCAGTTTATCACAGCGTAAAAGAAAGGCTTTAGAAAGAACCAGCTACGCTGCCGCATTACGTCTCCACCCGATCACACGGCATCTCCCCCTCCCCTCATTGAAAGATCGTCACTCAGTCGAGTCTACCTCCCATTGCATTTAAGCTGTTCTGTTACAGCTGCAACGAAGGGATACTTTGGCAGAACCAACCGATCACCACGAACTAGAATGGTCGAACACATCCCTAAGTGAATCAATGACTCAGTCTACACCACAAATTCTGACAAAATTGGATACATCGTTGATGAATGTTGCAAATGACAAAGCCACCAACTGCAGAGGACTTACCTTTATAGCGCTGAAATAGTTGCTCGATTTTAGCTTCATTCAGAAGGGGTCCAGTGGCGATTAAGTTCTGTTTGTAAAAGAAATCGATTGCCTGTTCAAGCTTCCAATTGTTTGACTGAAGACACTGTAAGGCCACCTTTTCTGAACAACGGGTGATTTCATGGAATTTTTTCACCCGTTCTCGCTGAGAAGAACTAAGTTTGAACTGAAAAGGAGAAAAATAATAATAAAAAGGTGTCAAAAACCGTGAGTGATAATAAAAGTGGTTGACTAATCGAAAAAATATATGGATTTTGGTGTCGCGTTTGTATAACCTTTAGTGGATTAACCGCTTAAATTCTGTTTCCGCTTTCGGACACACAATGAGTAACCTAGCATGGCTGTTTTTCGCTTTCTGTTGGCCGCTCAATTCAATGAAGAAATAAAGATGCTAGAAATTGTAAGTTGGTAACAGTCTCGCAGTGAAGCTATAGAATATGATTTAACTAAATTAAAGACCGAATTAAGTAGATGAATCACTGTTAACGACACTTGGCTGTATCATCCAGTACCCCTAAACACTGATCTAGGTCTCCAGTTTGTGTTCCACCCATCTAATTAGGGTTTTCGCACTTCATCATACAAGGTCTTAGTTTGGCTATCTTTGGCTTCTTTTCCACCCACTCCCGCCTCGGAAAACAGTGAATAATTTTATCCGGTGACATGCTTAACACATTTCTCAGCCATCGAAACCCGCTCTAGTCCACAACATCGACTATCTAAAACTGTCTAACCTCGGCATTCCTTCATTAACCGGTTACTTCACTAGGCTTGTACTGTGCGGTGTAGACAGTGATATCCGAAAACCATAATGTTACCGCAACGACCAAGTCCCTGTATCATACAAGAACCCTGGGAGAAAACAGCTAACTTGACTTTCCACAGACGGTAGGATAGCATCGCGGTTCCACATATATCAAGTTAGTTTACATATCCGCTGCCTTGCGGGTCAGGCTTTGGCTAGCCACAAGCTACGGCCAATTACGACGAAACTGCACCCTGACGTGGTGTGATGGTTTGTGCACCTCTGTGACCCAACGAGCTATACAGGATGGCTTTTGTCAAGCTAGGAGATCTTATCATGTCTAGAAGGTCAACAGATAGAAGTCAGACAAAGTCCAGTCTCCTGGGGTTGGGCTCAAGTTAGTGTCTCAGTCGGTAAAAAATGGTGGAGGAGCAATCGATTCAAGTAAATGGGCCTTCACTTCGCTTCACCCGCTGCCTTGCGGTTAGGTTCTTGTCCGAACTAAAGGATTTGGACGAGAACCTTAATCGTTTTCCTGCTTAGTGGCTGGACACCCTAGCAGTACCCGTCCAACAAACCCCAATGCATACACAAAATAAAAATAATTCCATACTGCATCGGTTGTCGCGCAGGATAATCAGGACCGTGCTGCTCATTGCATCAAGCGGGGTGGGTAGTGCGAAGTGGGTTCGTGCTCCAATTTCCCAGTCTTTGTTGAAGTCTTGGTCTTCAGCACCCAGCCCTCTCCATTTGCCCCTTTTTCCAATAGTCCCTCAGGCAACTTGGATGTCGCTCGCCAAAGGTCATTGCCAAATAGCACTGTAAGTATTGTCCCACGAAGTGAATCGCAGATTCTAAAGCCTCATCAATCACTTAATCTGGGGACCTTCAACGTGAGGATTTTGATGCAACCAGGTCAACAAGCTTGTCTGGCTCGTAAAATGGAATTCTTAGGAATCGATATTTGCTGCGTGTCGGAAACTCGAATCCAGGATCCTACTACTATAAGCCACTTTAGTGCGCCAGATGTGTCGACGATATACGTCCTTCGCACATCAGGCGACGACGAAGCCCGCTCGGTGGGTCAGCGCGGGGTAGGTATTGTACTCAGTGATACAGTGGAGTCCTACCTTATCGATTGGATCCCCGTCAACAGTCGTTTATGTGCAGTGCGTCTCCAGGGTTCAATCGGCGTCCGGAAGGGAAGCAACACCAAAAGGTGTTTGCTCATCGTATCGGCATACGCACCGATCAATTGCAGTCCTGATACTCAAAAGGACGCTTTCAACGATGAACTCATCGATCTCATGCGGCTAAGTCGCAGCTCCGACATAGATGTATTTGCAGGTGATTTTAACGCGCAAGTTGGAAAACTGAGCGCGTCAGAAGCCTGTCTAGGCGGAAGTTGTGCTCTACCCTGCCAACGAACGGATAACGGTGATGGACTTCTTCAGTTCTGCGCAGACTATCATCTGTTCCTATCAAGCACCAACTTCCGAAACATCTCTCGACGGACGGCAACGTGGGGCTCCAGTTCAACTGGTACGCTAACTCAAATCGACCACATAGCAGTAAGCTACCGTTGGCGTGGCTCAGTGCAAAATTGCAGGTCCTATTGGACCACAGGCGTTGAGCCTGATCATGCACTAGTTTTGATGCAGTTCACTTTCCGACTGACTGGCCGGCGACGCATTCAGCAAACTCGTACAGCTCATCAACGACTATCTGTTCCAGCAGTTCGTGTGCGTTATGAATCAGATATAGTGCGTGGACTAAGCGCGCCTCAACCCGATGATGTAGATGAGCAGTGGGATCAGAATAGGCGAACAATGCATTCCGCAGCGTATGTTGTTTGTGGTTCTGAGCCTCAAGCCCGTCGGAGGCATTGGATATCTCAGGAGTCAGTAGCCTTGAAGAAGAAAAATTGACGAATCCCGGCCTGCCAGGATCAAAATAGGGTTAGGTGGTATCTACAACGTCAGCTCACGAAGAGCCTCAAGAAGGACCGTGAGAACTGGTGGGCAGCAATAGCTAGTGAAATGGAGGTAGCAGCTGAGTCAGGGAATAGTCAAAGACTGTTCGGACTGATACGCAATACGGCCAACCCCAGTTAGTGAAACAATCTGCGATAAGAGGGGATGAGCTATTCACAATAGGGATCAACGACTCGATCGCTGGGTAGAATACTTCAGCGAACAGTTCAGCTGGCCTACTGCTAACCAGGCTGCTTCATCTCCGACTGAAGCTCCGTGGGCAGTGTCGTGCGATCTTCCAACGAAAGCATAAGTTCGGTCTTGCATTCAAGCTCTGAAGCGATGAAAGGTAGTTCAGTTGTTACAACCATTAACCATGCACTTTCGTGCGCCGGTTTTGGTTGCCCATT